GGATTTATTATGCCTTGGAATTCCCTCATTTCTCCTTCATTTAAGCAAATTGAACGATCAATTTACGTAAACTTGCGCCGGTTACAATATCCACAGGGAGTAAACCTTGAGGTTCAGCGTTTACATGAAAATAGAAAAATGCCGCAGTCAAGTTTAGATTCATCGTGTAATTTTATTCGTGCTCCGGGCACATTGTTCAGTAACTCGGAGTTTCTGCACAGTTTATTATCTGCCGAACCTATAAACAGCCTGAAGACGAATTCGTTTATTATTAACACAAGGTGCTAATATTGAGCTATCGATCTTTACAGAACGAACGAGTTATTTAGGGAACCCATGGATAACTCCGCGAATCCACCTACACGGAGAAAAAAATTCCAGAATTTTTCAGGCGAAATTCAGGCAAAAATTACCGTGCCGTCTGGTAAAGTGGGTTCAATTGTCTAGCACCAGAAAAATTCCGGTGCTGCATAGTAAAAATTCCGGTAACGCACAATAAAAGCTTGATCCCTGACTGTTTTCTATTACATGATAAATTTCATTCAATAGTTAAAAATGAGTAAACATTGTCATTCAGCATATCATCCTATTAATTTTATTTTAACCTCTCCTCCATATCCTCTCTCCCATATTAAAAGCGGAATGCGCGGCAAACGTATGTGGAACGTTTGACAGGCCAATGTATATCTACAGCGTTATACACCTCATGAAGCGAAAATAAAGGGCACTTATTTTATTTCTTAACCGTTTTATCACAACACTAATTAATATTTCACTGAATTGATATTATGAAAAACATTAACCTGGGGTTTCAGTAAGGAGATATGTGAGAGAGGAGGCTAGAGGAGGCGACGGAATAAATCATCTGGTCACGTTGAGTCGATGTTCGTGGTTGCGGAGGGGGGACGAAGAGTACCGAAATCTTACGAATGCGCGATCGGGTCCTAGGATTCTGGTAGAGCACCGGAAAAATTTGCCAGTCAGTGTCATAATTTTTCTCGTATTTCTCGTAAAAATTCACTGTCGCTTCGATTTTACCGTGCTGCACAAGAATTTTTCCCCACATTTATCCGAAAAATGACTCGTGCAACAGTACTTTTTCCTACTCTTTGCGGTACATTTGGCCTGGAAAGACCATCTGAACCAACTTTACTGTGCGGGCACGGTAATTTTTCTCGTACATTTCTCTCCGTGTATTCTCACCTTGAAAAAAGCACCACCAATTATAGCTATTGATTTTCGCTACCGCAATTTTCCCTCGGCAAACGAAAATTGGACTGGAACTTTAATCCACCATCGTTAAAAATTGAATACCTCCACCAACCATACCATAGCCCATACCGTATCGCGTCGCTGAATAAAATTCTGAAATAATTCAAACGGAATATTAACGAGAGGAATCCCATTCCATAAAGACGTCACTGGAATACTTCAAAGAGATATTTCAGAGTCAATTATGCTGAGGCTGTCACATCCAGTTCAATCTTTCTCTCTCGATGGGGATTCCACATAATACTCGTGATGATTCATCCAACTGCATGTATAACATTCATGGAAGTGCATAAATGATACAAATACAACCTTCCCTATTTGGGCTTTCATTCCTTCTCTACTTCATAAAAATCCAACAACAAGCGTGAAGCCGATTACAGGATCAAACTCAACTTCATCAGAATGTTTCACGATGTTTTACAAATTCCATTGAGTATGCCAAAAGACAAGGTACATACGGCCGTAAGTCTACTATTCAAACAAACTCATGCATTTGATTCAAATGAAGTCAATTCAGTAGCGAAGTGGTAAAACGGTTTAAGTCGACTTATCTCCGAGTTGATTTTTTGAGGGATATTTCCGAATCTAAGGGAGATAGTGAAATTTTCGTAATTACATTTGTTATAGCACTCAATCGGTTCTACAAAAAGGGTTATAACAAAAATTTTGCTATCTCCCTTAGATTCCGAGATATTTATTGAAAACTGGTCAATAATCAAAATTGACTTATACCGTTTTACCACTTCGCTACTGAATTGAATTTGAATGAAATATTTCTCTAGTTGTGCCTTAATTCAATACTATCGGCATAATCCCAGCCTTGAGAATCATCATATCGATTAGGAATCACCGCATGTCCCAAATAATCCAACAAATCCCATCCCAATTACTAAAAGTCAAATTGATTGCAATTTCGTGGATTAACCCCAACATTAGAACATCGAACCTCTGCTTCCCAGTGTATCCCCCTTCCCATAATTTTACGAGAGCATTAAATGGGTTAAGACTTTGTTCATGACTTTGTGAACACCAGTATAAAGATAACCCGCCCCCTCGCAGCCCTCCAAAGGTTTTGTGCTTAACCCCAAAGTCGCATAGTTAACTGTAACGACCTTCAAACTTCTAGCGCAAGAAGAATGAATGAAGTATTTTTCTAGAAATGCCATACAAGTCAATTTTGACTATTGACCAGTTTTCAATGAATATCTCGGAATCTGAGGGATATAGCAAAATTATTGTTATGACCTTTTTTGTAGAGCCGATTGAGTGCTACAACAAATGTAGAAATAAGTCGACTTAAACTGTTTTACTCATGAATTCAATACTATCGGCATAATCTCACCCTTGGGAATCATCATATCGATTAGAAATCATCTAATGTCCCAAGTAATCCAACAAATCCCATTCCAATCACTCGATGTCTTAAAATTAATTACAATTTCGTGGATTAACCCTAACATCAGAACCTCAAACCTCTGCTCCCCAGTGTCTCCCCCCTCCCCACAATTTTACGAGAGGATTAAAGGGGTTAAGACTTTGTTCATGACTTTGAGAACACCAGTATAAAGGTAACCCGCCCACAGTTGCATAGTTAACTGTAACGACCTTCAAACCTCCTGCGTAAAAAGAATGAATGAAGTATTTTTCTACGAATACTATAATTCAATACTATCGGCATCACCTGACCCTTGCACGGAGAGAAATGTTCAGTAAAAATTACGGAACTCACAATTCGCTCACCGATTACGGAATGAACTCACAAAATTTAAGTGACGGTATCGTAATTTTTCACAGGAGATTCAGATAAAAATTACGGAACGCTCTGGAAAAATTCCGTTACAGTTCCGCGAAATTTCCTACAACTACATTTCGCTTTGGAATTACGGAAAAGGTACGTAATTTTTATTGGATATTTCTCTCCGTGTGAGAATCATCATAACGATTAGAAATCACCTAATGTCCCAAATAATCCTACAAATCCCATTCCAATCACTCGATGTCTTCAAATGAATTGCAATTTCGTGGATTAAACCTAACATTAGGACCTCAAACCTCTGCTCCCCAGTGTCACCCCCCTCCCCGCAATTTTACGAGAGCATTAAAGGGGTTAAGACTTTGTTCATGACTTTGTGAACACCAGTATAAAGGTAACCCGCCCACTCACAGCCCTCCAAAGGTTTTCTACTTAACCCCAGAGTCGCATAGTTAACTGTAACGACCTTCAAACCTCGGCCGTAATTAGAGTTTAGTTATCGTGGAAAAGTTGGCGTAGTCGAGCCAGCCGCCGGTTGCTGCAGTCTATCGAATGTCACTGAATACCTTCCTCATCCATGAGACCCTCGTGGTGCCATCCAGAGGTGGTCGTGCACATGAATCTGGGTTTATTAAAGGGCCACCCGAAAACCATGAAAAAGACGAGGTTTTTGGAGCTGAGGGGAACGTACAGTCCCGACTCCGTCTCATGCATACCAATAAGACATGCTGAAGGGGAGAGAAGGGCCTGTCTCACTCGCACCCTTCGTGCGTTACCAACTTTGTCTCGGCTTATTAGGGCGCTACTCCCCGGAGCCCCAGGCAATTAACACTTTGGGCTGTTCTTACTGTATCAACGTTGAGTCTTCTCTCTCGTGTTTACTAACAGAAAATGAAACCACAATCTTGGGGTGAGGAACAGGTGAACCTGTGGAATTATGAGCGATGGCGCAACAGTAGTGACGGGAAAAAATTTAAATTTCGTGACAATTGACTATTAATTCTATAACTTTCGTGACTGATAATTAACAATTGACTGGGAGTTCTTGGAAAAGTGATACTCAATTCGATGGAGAAGGGAATAAATAATGGAATTTCATATTTTTGGGCAATGGGAACGCGGGAATGCCTCACACTTAGTTATGATTCGAGTCGCAACTAAATATTTAACACCAACTTACGTTGAATTTTTAATTAATTGAAAAATATATTTTACCTGATTTTTTCTGATTTCCATGAATTTTTATGGAACAATTGAACTGAATGTCATAACTTGCATCGATTTTTCTTTATAATTTTAAATTTTCAAAGCCGAAATTCCTTGAAATTTCAGTGAAACTATAAAAATCTTCATGAAATCTACCGGAAATTTCAGCTAAAAATAGATTTCGTCTGTCAAATCCATTAGAAATTCGATTCCATTTACAGTTAAATTTCTGCAGTGCGTTTGAAAATTCAAACTGTCATCGAAATTTCAATTGTCGCTCAACACAGAAAACTCAATTTCATTAAAATGTCGAATTGACCACGAAATGCCGGAAAAATTTGATCCAAACTTCACGGAGAGAAATATTCAATGAAAATTACGTATCTTTTCCGTAATTCCGGAACGAAATGTGGTTGTAGGAAATTTTACGGAACTGTCACGGAATTTTTCCGAAGCGTTCCGTAATTTTTATCCAAGTCTCCTGTGAAAAATTACGATACCGTGAATTGTGAGTTCTGTAATTTCTACTGAACATTTCTGTCCGTGTTGAATTCAAACCTACAAAATTGAAAAAAGCTCCAATAAAATTGTTATTGTCCCACCCTCAATTCTTCTCAGCATTGTCATGACCCTCCCCATCATGACTCATCAAGAAGATAATCCGACACTCCTACGAATCCCCACAGTTCCGGCGAAGCCCCCATTCAAAACTTCAGAACTCCCCCAACTAATTCCCGAACTAATAAATGAATCACTCTTCACGTTTCAGGTGATCCTGATGCCGCACAGTCATACAGACCCCGGTTGGTTGAAGACCTTTGAGCAGTACTTCCACAGCTCGACCCGCTCTATCCTCAACAACATGGTAACGAAGCTCCAGCAGTGGCCAAACATGACGTTCATCTGGAGCGAAGTCTCCTTCCTATCTCTCTGGTGGGAAAGGTAACTGCATCTCCTCTCAACACAAATATCACCTGAGCCAATAAAACTCGGTATCCGTCGTTTAAAAACGTGCAATCACTTCCAAATGAGTTTATGACGAGGGCTTAAATGGGTATTGGGAGTCCTGGGCAATCTTGAAATGGCCAACAGGCGCTTGCGTCTTATCTCCTTTTAAAAGACGGTTTTGCTGAGGGGGTGGGGCGGGTCATTACTGATATTTTTTTTTTTGTACTGATACAAAATTTTGTTTCGATCCATTAGATATAGATTAACATAAAGCCATTCATCTCAAAATCGTTCTTCTTCAAAACATGACTGCATTACTTGAAAAGTCATATTAGGTAACATTAAAATGCTTCAGAATGATGAAATTGTGAACAATCTCAATTTTGTTTATCAACTCACTAGAGAACATCACGGTGCACAATCTTCTTTTCTTTTAGTTGATCCTCAATGATCGAAAACTAGTCAACTGAACTAAATTTTTTCAACACCAAAATATCTCTATGATACTATCCATCGAATGAAATCAGAAAGAACAATAGAAATGGGCACTTTTCATTTTTGAAATGGAATGATAATCAAGCTCTAGCAGTGACCAAACAAGACGTTCATCTGCAGCGAAGTCTTCTTCCCAATAATAGTATCTCGATAATATTTATCGATTGAAATAAAAAAGTTCAATAGAAATGACCACTTTTCATTTTTGAAATGGAATTGTTATGGATCCTTTCGGTAGCTTACTAACAATGATAATCAAGCTCTAGTAGTGACCAAACAAGACGTTCATCTGCAGCGAAGTCTTCTTCCCAATAATAGTATCTCGATAATATTTATCGATTGAAATAAAAAAGTTCAATAGAAATGACCACTTTTCATTTTTGAAATGGAATTGTTATGGATCCTTTCGGTAGCTTACTAACAATGATAATCAAGCTCTAGCAGTGACCAAACAAGACGTTCCTCTGCAGCGAAGTCTTCTTTCCATTTCTCTGGTGGGCAAGGCAATTGCATCTCCTCTCAACACAAATATCACCTGAGCCAATAAAACTCGATATCCGTCGCTTAAAATCTTGCAATCACTTCCAAATGAGTTTATCACGAGTGCTTGAATGGCTATTGGGAGTCCTCGGCAATCTTGAAATGCCCAACAGGCGCTTGCGTCTTATCTCGTGTTAAAAGACGGTTTTTCTGGGGAGGGAGTCAGTCGTTGGTGATATTGTCGGATCTACCTCTGTCTCTCTCTCTCTCTCTTGGGCACCATCACCGTATCGTAGATGGGATTCTCGTAAAAAAGAGGAAAAGGGGTATTAAAGTGGGACGAGGTATATTGCGGAACGTGAATCGAGATAGGACCAAAGGCAAAGGTATAAAGAGAATGAGGGGTTGGGAAGTGAGGGGTGGAGAGAATGAGGGAAGCAGGGTTACGCGTTCTTGCACGAAACTGGCGCCTCTGGTTGACGTCGTTGGTGATGCCATGCCGAGGCACTTTCCCAGCGCTGGGATACGGGGGGAGGCAAAAGTGTCAGAGAAGAATGCGAGTGCTGTGGTGGAGGACAATGGACACCGGATGATGAGTGAAACAAAGGGGATGTCTTTTAGTTCCTGGGGTAATGTCAAAGTTTGCTGCCTCCGGGGTTTTCAGATGAAAATCCTGGGAGTGATTGGAAGATTGGAGTTTTTAGGATTTATTCCCTGGGGGTGGTGGGTCGTTGGCGTTTATTGAATTTATTCAGTGGGGAATTGAGGTCCTTTAATTAGGAGAGTGGATAGTATGGGGGATCGAATTTTTAGATGGGAAGGATGGAGTTTTTTTCTTTTTACTGGGTTCGTTTGAATGGACATTTTTGCGACATTCAGAGAAATTATGCATTTGAATAGGAGAACAATCGTTATTTGAGATTTTTGTATTCAATTCCACAATGTTTTCGTCCGAAATTAATGAACTTATTTATTCATTTCAATGACAATATTTCAATTTTATGAAATGAATGATTCATTCTGAAGGATTATGAAGGATTATTACGCGTTAACAGATTAGTTCGCTTCGCCATGTCGACAATTATTTTATTTCTTACTATATCAACTCTTTGTTGAAATCATAAATAAACATCTGTTGATAAAGCGCAATTTAGATTCAGCTATTTCGCAAATTTCAAAAAATTCCAGCGTACATGCTTACACAGTAATTTTTCCATTTATATTCTCTGCATGTAGATTTTAGGAAATTGAGAGGCTATATAAGAAGGGGTGTGGGATCTAAGAAAATGAAATGCTTGATTGGAAATTGATTTTCCCTATATCGGGTTAAGTAATTGAGTTAAGAGAGGCTGTTTGACGAGTTTTTCAGAAAAAGCTAATCAATGAAGCACTCGAAAAATTTCTTGTCCAACTTTCTCCTCGAAACTTTGCGAAGATGTCGAGAATCTGAACGAAAGTTCTTATAAACAGGGTTTCGTTGATTACATGGACGCAAATTAACATTTTGATGAAGTTTCAAATTTGATTAATTACAATCTCAAGGGATTGCAACGTTAGTACTCCAATCCATTCGTCTCTGGGTGAACGAAAAGCATTTGGAAATGGGACAAACAAGGAGAGCTCGCATGATATTCACTTATTTCAAATAAATCCTCTATTAAAATAGGGTAAAAGATTTTCACATATTAACAATATTAACTAATAGAGAATTTATGTGAATCACGAAAACATTCGTTTATGAAAACGCAAATTGCAACGCAATTGGACAAAAGGAATGGTTCAGAAAGTTTCTTACATGAATTTCACTAATTATGTGGACGCAATTAACACTTTGATAAACTATCAAATTTAATTAATAACAAATTAAAGAGATTGCAACGTTTAGTAGTCCAATTTGTTCATCTCTGGTTGAATGAAAAGCATTTGGAAATGGAACAAATCAGGAGTGTTCGTTTGATATTCATTCATCTCCGATGAATCCTCTATTAAAATGAGATAAAGGATTATCACATGTCAACAAATTTGACTAATGGAGGATTCATTTGAATCAAAGAAACATTCGTTTATGGAAACCCAAATAATAATCGAGTTTAAGTTTCAACTATTCCCCCAAAACTTCTCAAAGCTGCAGATAAATTGGACAAAATAATTGTTTAGAAAGTTTCTTACGTTAATTTTACTCATGATGCGGACGTAATTAATACTTTGACAAACTTTCAAATTTAATTAATTGCAAATTAAAGAGATTGTACCGTTTAGTAGTCTAATTCGTTCATCTCTGGTTGAGTGAAAAGCGTTTGGAAATGGGTCAAATCAGGAGTGGTGGCATGATATTCATTCATCTTCAATGAATCCGCAATTAAAATGAGATAAAGGCTTAACACGTGTTAATTAATATAACTAACACAGGCTTTATTTGGATTTAAGGAACACTCGTTTATGGAAACGCAAATAATAATCAAGTTTGAGTTTTACCTTTTTCCCCAAAACTTTACAAAGCTGTTAATAAATTGGACAAAAGTAATTGTTTAGAAAGTTTCTTACGTTAATTTCACTGATTATGTGGATGTAATTAACACTTTGACAAACTTTCAAATTTAATTAATAACAAATTAAAGAGATTGCGACGTTAGTGCTCCAATCCGTTCATCTCTGGTTGAATGAAAAGCACTCGAAAATGGGACAGAACAGGAGTGCCGGCATGAAGCCGTTATCAGTAGCATAACACGCGATAAAGACTCCGAGAATATTTATGATGGCGTCGTGCATCAACATTTCATGAACTCACTCTCAGTAATTTTTCCATTCTACTTTGATTCAGTAGTAACAAAATGTTGAGGGGACGTCTGAGAATAGACATGATTAAGTGGTGTCGTCTTACAACTCTTGGTGTACCTAAAACGATTGGTTTTCAGTGCCCATCCAACCAAGAAGGCTGTGGTGAAACGCTTGGTGAAGGAGGGACGCCTGGAGATGACCACTGGCGGTTGGGTGATGACAGACGAGGCCACCTCCCACATTTACGCCATGCTCGATCAGCTTATTGAAGGTAAATCACCGCACCCTCATGCTTCATCAATTTTTCAATTTGAGAGACCTTTTCACGAGTCTCTAGCGGAATTTCTGGGTTTTCGTGAGGTCGTGAAAAATGGAGCTGATTTAGATACATCAGATATCGATCAGTTCTCTTGTTTGGATGCATAGTGATGTAACATTGTTAGAAAATTACTCTTGAAATTCCAAGTAAAGAATCTTAAAATTTTTAAAGTGAAAGTATGAGCATTTTGGTTGGAGTTCTCGTGAGGAAAAGGGAAACTTTCTTCAGCTGAAAGATTTGAAATTCCATGGAATTATCGGTGAAATTTGTAATTTCGTGATTTTTTCCTCTTGAATCAACTTAAATGTCGCTCTCCTCGAAATTATTATTCATTTTTTTAAGAAATTTCACTTCTGTATAATATGAATGTATATCAAAAATGGATATTCGTGGAAATATCCAGTGAGAGCATCCACTCCATGGAAATAGAAAAATGGCAATAGTCTGGGATAACTATCGATTATTGAATCATGAAACGATTTACACTCAGAGAAAAAAAAAGACTTGACATCTTAAACATGACATCTTAAGCAACGAAAACTGAATATAAATTTGACACAATTGGACAAAAAATTCAATCGAAACTGTGAATTTCAGTTCAATTATTCCACGAAAATTCATAGAAATCAAGAAAATTATATTGTTGAATTTTCAATTAATTGAAAATTCTGAGCAATTTGCTACTGAATTCATATCTGGATTGAAAATCCACGTAAGTTGAGGAATTCTCGCCGTCCATCAGCTGAAGGATACCAAACTCCCTCAAAGTTTCCCTTAAATTCACCACAAAAATTAACATGTCACCATTTTTTCCGCTAAATCAAAATCAATATCGTTCTCCTAAAAATTAATATTGACATTCAAGTCATGGACAATTCACAAAACTTCCTCAAGCAAGCGATGTGTCCTCCGAAGTCCATATACTTGACTCAACGAATAAATTCAGTGATGTTCGGTTTTTCTATCCCCCAGCGCACACGCTAATTCCCCATCACCTTTTTAAATTAAAAAAACCATCCAACAATTTTCTATTTCCGCTTTCTCCAATCTTTCCACGCTTTATTTTTGGGTGAAGAGAGACGTATCAGGTATATCGATCAAGAGACTCGTCGAAAAAGCCGGGAAAAAAGAGCGGAAAGGAAAAAAGCTCTGGCCAGTGATGTCGATATCGAGCCTCAGTGCTTACACAATACGAATGCCCCCGACTATCGACACTCCCGCTGGGAGGATTGATCGCTTCTGTACGGTCTCACTGTGTGTGGAAAATTCCTACGGGTTCAAAATGTCTGGATGATCGAACGGTGTTTACCCTGTCACTCGTTGGTGGATAAACGTGTGACGGTGAATAGATGAAAGTGTAAGCTGGAGAGCAGCGGGCTGAGGGAAAAATGGCAATTTTTTTCATCGGCGACATTAGTACGCTTTATAGAAAAAAATTGGAGGGGGGTGGATGGGACTGAATAGCCGGATTTTACGTCCATTTAGAGGATTGAGAGAGCTTCACCGTTTTTTAGGAACGAGATATCCGGAACTATAATATCTTTGACGTTTGTGATGGCAATTAGTTTTGTGGATTCGCTTTGGAGAATAAAGAGATGGGGAAATATTCACAACTACGAGGGTGTCGCATCGTTTTAGAAGATGTTCTCGAGTTAATTACAAATAATTTCACTCGGGTTATTCTAAAATTTGGGTTATTGTTGTCTTGAAATGAAAAATAGGATATTTAATGGATTTTATTTACTTGGATGTTTAATACGAGCTTCAAGGAATTTTATAATTGACAGATCTTTGGATGTTTATTACATTGGATTGCTGACTTTCAAATTCTATTACAATCTCTCTTTTTTCTTCTTGATAATTGATTCATTGGATTAAATCAGCGATCAGTCGACAATCATTACATTCGTAATATTTTGTAATATTTTTAGAATTTGCACCTTTCTATTACTACGATTTTATTATTTTACTTGAAATTTGAAAATATTAAAATAATTCTTAATTTAAATATTCTATTGACTATTGAGTAAATAATTCTAAATTTCATAAAAGGATTTTTCAATTAGACATGTAATGGTCAAACTTCTGACATGACTGGTTCATAGATTATTTCGGAATTCGAATATTCGATTGATGATTAATTTGGTAACTGAAAATTGTTGGATAATATTGTCAGTTAACAGAAGCTAAATTCAACTTATTTTGAAATTAATGATCGTTCTGATCCCTGGATTAAATATTTGAAAACTTGAATTACAACAGCTTTATTTAATTGATTCATTGATTCGATTTTTTAACGCGATATTGGACGTCGATATAAATATTAAAGCTGGTTTAAATTTATAGAATAGTACATTACGCAGTGATACCGCCTGCTGTCCGCACGTGTTGCGTATACTATTTTATATGATAAGTGCGTGATGAAGTTGGGGGGGGGGGCGAAGCCCCCCACGAGAAAAGTGGGTCCAGGGGGCGACACCCCCCGGGGGGGGGGCGAAGCGGAACTTCTGAAGAAAAAATTAATTATATTCATTAAATATGCAGTTCAAAAAACTTGTAAAGTATTTTTAATTGAAAAAAATTAATTATAATAATTACAAAATACAATTTTTAAAAATCATTAAGAATTCGCAAAAAAAAGAAAGTTATAATTATAAAAAAACATGATACAAAACGTAATTGAAAAATCGGAGAATATTTTATTTCCATTTTCTTCAAATGTCACATCACCAATAAACTCTTCCTCATCAGTAAATAAATTCTCCTCACTGCCTAACTCTTCATCACTATCAGGAATTATACGATTTTGGCTCATTTTATCTGCTTCGAAAATCACCTTTTCATTTTTCAGTCATTCCATGTATTCACTATTCGGAGGTTAGATTTCCTTCCTTGTTATTCTCTTTTAATAGGTGATGCGCATGCGCGTCATGCGTTATTTCGGGTTTCAGTTGACTATAGTCAACTGGAAAGTAGTGGATTTCAAGCGCCTACCCACACTCAACTGTTAGAACAGTGGGTTTCAGTTGAGTGTGTGTAGACGCTTGAAACCCGCTACTTTCCAGTTGACTATAGTCAACTGAAACCCATGCGGTTACACGCACGTATCATATAAATGTTTTTATTCGTTTGGTTGTATTATTTATCAATAGATTTAATTTGATTTCAATATTTTTTAGATTATCAGTGTTGAATGAGTCAGGGTAATCCAATTTGCAATGGATTTCGATATCACGATTTGAGTAGGATGGTTAAGATTGAATGTTATTGTAGTATTGGACGGTAGAAATTTTTCATGTGTCTTGGCGAATAGGTAATTTTTTTTTTCATTTATTCGCATAGAATATTCCTTTTACAAGAATTGATGAATCCACAGGAATCATAAAGTTAATGTCTATAATGAAAACTGTTTGCAGTTGACCCATTTTTCTCGTTTACGAATGCCACTGCAATTCCGATAATGTGATTAGTAAAAAATGGCAATAAACGTTATTGCGGCTTTTTTCATCATCTGTCAATCAGTGGATTAATGAGAAATATTCATTTATAAAAAACAATGGGACAAGAATATTCTCCACAATTGTGATGGCAATGATTGTCATCGATTTACTTTTGGAAATAAACAAATGGGAACACCCGTCACAATATCGAAGTTTAATTGCCCAATCATACTCTCACAATCCACAACAATCTGAAATACAAAAAATGGGAGTTATTGTCAATACGAGAAAATTGGAAGAGATGATTGGTATTCCCAACGTAGGGATTCCAACTTCATTCTGGGAATTTGCATAGAGTATTCGCTTTGAGAATGGCGGATGTACTAGAATTATGAACGTTTTTTCCCCTCTTTTATTCCGAAAATGAGAAAGGTTGGCAATTGATCAAATTTTTGCTTCGTGAACAATTCAATGTCTATTATATCATGTAATCAGGAAAAAATTCTAATATTTACTGTAACCATGAGCACCAATTCATCTCCGTTCTCTCTATTGAATTGGAGTTTATAAACTCCAATTCAACTCCAATAATCTAATAAAAGAAATAGTTCTGACATTCCCTATATGAACGAACTTGAACTATGAAATTGAAACGTTGTGCTGACAGTTTTTTGTTGATGAACAAATATCAATTTCAGTGGAAAAAGCGGAGAATGTGTTTTCATGAAGATTCGATTTTCGAAAAAAAGGAAAAAACCTCTCCAAACTCCAATTTGAAATGCAAAAAATGGGGACATCAGTTGTTCCAATGCGAGAAACTAGCGAGGAATGATTGATATTCTGAACGCAGAAATTTCAACTTCATTCCGGAAATTTGCATGGAACATTCCTTTTCAGAATGATGAATCCACTAGAATTGTGAAGCCTTTTCCGCCTCCTTTGTTCCGGAAATGAGGAAGGTTAGCAATAAAAAAAAATGGTTCATGAACAATTCAGAATTTATCGGATAGCGTTGCGACAAAAAAGATATCTGATATATACTGCAGCAATCATTGCCACTCATTCTTTATTCTCTCCGAACGAAGCGTGAAACCTATGAAACCAAAAAGACTTAATCAACAGAAAAACCTTTCATCGCTGTAAGACCTTTTCATTTAATTGAATTCACTGAATTCAATTAGTAAATCTTTCCGTGAAGAAGTGTAGGAGAGAAAATTGATGGTATACTTGAATATTTTCTCTGTATTTTTCAATATTCTCCTGCTGCACTGAAATTCGTCAATGCGCACTCATCGGGTTGCAATAGCAACGGATATATTCGAGGCGAAGGGATCGGGGGATGTGAATCCGTAGAATTTCGGTGGCGTGTGTGTATTGAGAGCGACGGGGATGAGGGTCTCGATGGTGAAACGAGGGGTGAGCCACACCTCAGGCTCGAGTCCGTTCACGTCCATCTGCAATTATAATGTAATCAGGCGGGACTTGGGATTACTCTACCGCGGCTCGTTGGAC